ATTTGTTCTCATAAAGGCGATACATCCACTTCGCGTCAAACAACTAGGGACACTCGACTCTAATCATTGCGACAGCGTCAGACCGTTGGCTACAAGAAAATCTTAAGTAAAAATCTCGTGTACGATTTCAGTCGTATCTCATTTTTGAATCTTGCTGACAAATGAATTCGTAATGCGATTTGCAACGACACTAGCAAAACTCATCAACTGGTTGCAACAGTTCATCCCACATTCAAAATGAGTGGAAAAAGTGCCATCAAATATAACAAGTTTGGTCTAGACGTTCTAGCAGAAGAAAGGTTTGACACCGGGATTGCCAGGACTTGGCCTTTGAAAATGGAAATATTTTTCATCTCTTATTAATGAACCCGGAATTTTCCACTTCATCCTTTCATTCTTTGCAATTTTAAATTTACAAAAGATTATTAAAGGAATGCATTATAACCCCCAATAAAAGCCGCTTTTCTTTTTTTTGTAGAAAAAAGAGGCTTCTAAATTGCAAAGGGCACACTAGAATATTTCTTTGCCAAGGTGTAGTCTAATGGCCGTGTTAGATAAGCCATCGAATGAGTATAGAAAGCAGGAAAGACGGAGCCGTTAGGCCAAAAAGTGACCAAGGAAGGTAGCTTGTGTATTGAACAACTAAATGATGTTGAGATATGAGCAAAACTGGAAGCTTCCAAAGCCTCATGTATTATCCACTGCTTCACTCAGGTCCGGCTTCGCGTTTCTCTCGGCATGTTGTTTGGCTCGTTGACGGATTATTGCTGATAGCAACGTTAGGGTAAAGAACTCGTTGAGAAAAAGGCAAAGCACAGGTTCCCGTTGGTGTGCTGGATAGAACGTGAGCTCCCAAAAAGGGTAATCGCAGCTCAAAGCTCACCTAGGCTTCCGATTTTGTTTGCATCTGAACATCATTCACTGCGGTTGAATCTCATATAATACCCCGCTATAAAAAAAAGGATAGGCGGTAAATAAAAAGCTGAACCTTCGCAGCTCCTGTACAATTTCTAGCAAACGGATCAAACGTGTAAAGCCTGGTTCTATGCTGCTAACAAAAATTTGGTCGAAACGGTGCAGAAATATGTATGTTGTTAATAAATTTGCGATTGAATTAGTTTTTCCATGGAGACTCTAGGAAAAGCTCACCAGTTGCCGCAATATCACACCAAGGTGACACGACGCATTCCGCCGGCTTCTGAGCACTTGGCCAACGGGCAACCAGTGTTTTATTCTCTTCATAAAGAATTTTTTGCTATAAGATATTCTTTTTCACCAATGCATCCCTTAGGCCATCTTGTCCACAAAACTGACTTTTTTGTGCACTTGTCCGGACCATGAACCCATGCACTGGCTCTGGAGTGGTTGGTTCGGCAGCGTGGTGTATAAACCAAGTGCTACCAAGATATTCTTCAAGAATTGAAAACTTACCACTTCACGACGGTTTCCACTTAACCATAACTGCGCTAGTACACTTATTAGGGAGCTGTCGCTTACATTAACTTGTCTAGCAGTGAGCTAGCGGCTGGAATTGTCAAACATAAAGCATGCTACTTGAATATCCATCAATTTTCTCCGACAGTTCCATATGAAATGTGATTTGTTACTGTGTGATGTTCCCGAGAGTGTAAGAGCACCGATGGACATTTCTCAGCTTCTTTTCTGGCCTTCTGTTCCAGCTGACAGCTCCACTTCTGATAAATAAAATAAGGATAAAGCTCTCGGCGTTGATCAATCCCTGAGGGATGCGTCATGTATTCGACTTCATCGAGTACCGTTGGAGGTGACTGAATGCATATATAGCCATTACAATAGCTCACGGTGGCCTACTGATGTACCGAGATCATGTTGCTCCCTTCCCAGACAAGTCTGATACCAATTCGCCGACCCCGGAGTGATGAAAGGCCTGGTAAGCCATGGGCGCGGAGATTAATTCCACGTGTGTGTCGCAGTGGCGCCACCAATCACTGTGCCACAAGCGCCTTTTACATCGGTGTAAAAAAAATATTAATGGAAGCAGCTCAAGAACGACTCGGTTTCGTTTACTCCTAACTAGGTTGTCCGATGGAAACGCCGAACTCCTTTTCAGTTTCGAAGACCCTTCCAGGGGATGAATCCTCCTGCAGCACATCGCAACCCGACATCCAGGAACACGTTCCAGCGAAGATGAGTTGTTAAGCCGTTAAGACGGATCTGACAATTGTTACAAGAAAGGCGCAGATATCACTTCGAAGAGGCACGAGCTTACTCGCTAGGTGGTTATTTCTTATAAATAGTTGCCGCCCTCTGAAGATCTAATCCTAAAGATGTGATGGTGATGCTCTTTAATGCTCAAATGCAATGTGGTCACGCTTGCTAATCACAATTGGCAAACGGGAATTTTATTAGTGTTTGATTACCTGTATAATCACCGTTTATTCCACCATTATTTGGCCATCACTCTTTATCCGGACGGCCAAAAGGCTTGGGATCCCTCAAATCTAAGAATACGTGGGGATACGATGGGGATTATAGAAACGTGAAGTAGCATCGCGCTGTTACTCATATAGTACGAATGAAAAGCAAAAACGAACTGTGAGAATAGTGTTGTAGATGTCATTGTGTAATGCATATGTCCGGAATAGCATGCCATAGTGGCGTTGATCAACTCATCAGGTGTTCCGCACTTAGCAACTGAGCAACCAACAACGGTTACGACATCCGGACATATCATCTATTCAACTAGACCATGTTTCTTCTTTGGTTCTAATGTATTTTTAGCAGAGTTTACTGTTAAGTACTCAAGTCTCTACCACATTGACCACGACCGTAATATTCACCGTCCTAGGGCGCTCCGACTACCATTTGCGGTCATTTCAAGGTTGTCATTGGAACTGCAAGACTTTAAGAATATTATTTGATTTTGATTTAAGTTTTACTATTAGTTACGTAAAACGCAAATTCGTACTAAATGTTAAAGTTCACGTAGTGATCGGTGGTGACTGGAGTTATCATTGAGCATCCACTCACCGCTATATCGGCTTTCACCTCCAGCTCACAGCTGTAGTTCTAAATGTCTTAATATTAAACTTTCTAGAAAAATATTGGAGTTTTTAATGTTGACTTGCTTTTTTATTATTAACCAGTATTTGTTTCGTTATTAAAGTGTATTGAAGCTAGGTGAACTTTGTTGGTGGAGAATTGGCATTCATCTGCACTGAGAACCATTGCTGGCCCCGGCGACGGATTGTAACGACCGCCGCGGCTCTATCCTTATGTTCCAAAAAGATACCCGACTTTTAAGAGAGGATGTCTACACTAGGATGATTTTTTATGAAAAACTGACCTTAGTGAAAATAGTTTTTTGATGGTTGGCGCTAATTTTTTATTACCAGAGCATATCACGACGGAACGATAATCAGGTGTATGGGAGAGAGTTTGATTTCTTCCCCTCTATGCATACAAAAGATAGAAAACAAACTTCTTGGCGTTGACAATCCTTGTGGAATGCGCCGTGCATTCGATATCACAAACGTATCGTTAAAGCTGACTGAATGCACATCTGGCCCTACGCAGTGGCCTAGCGATGTATCTAGTCAGTGCTGCTATACTTCTAAACAGGTCTGGCACCAATTTTCCGATTTCGGACGGATGGAAGGCTTGATGACCCAGGGGTACGGAATTAGGTCATGGCCACATGCATTGCAACGCACCTTTAAGCAATGTATTACAAGAACCTATATAAAGGATAAAAGGATTAACCTCTCGGCGTTAATCAATCCCAGAGGTATGCGCCCTGCATTCAACTTCATTAAGCATCGTTTGGAGGTGATTGAATGCACATCTGGTCTTTACAATAACTCGTGGTGGTCTACCGATGTATCGAGCCAGTGCTACTATCCTCCCGAACATGTTCGGTACCAATTTGCCGACCCCGGAGGGGTGGAAGGCTTGGTGAACCATGGGACCTGGGATTAACACAATCAGTTTGCAAGAGCATATAAATAGATGTGTTTGCTATGTTTTTCGCCTACAGGGCAATTGCAAAGTTCGGCTTTTCTAAAGCCACCAAATAAGTTCTATTTATGTGTTTTGAGAATAGTTTTTGCTATCGTAAATGGAAAAGGGGCTTGCTAGTGCGTGCTTTTGTCTGTTCAGGTAAATCAACCGCATGGAGTGGCGTTTCAGAATGGCGTCAAGATAACTGAAAATGCTTCTTCTTGTGATCTTGTGCACAACATAAGCCACAATGCCATAAAAACGGAGCTATGACTTCTAGTATGATATTTCTATACTCTATCCGAAATCTCTTATTGGTAACGTTAATTTATTAGGTTGTCACACAACGTGTGCATACCAGGTAACATGACCGTAAAACTTTATTCAGTTTGACTACAGCGACTTAGTGATTTACTACCAATGCTTCGCCATTTTCCATTGAAAATAGGGAAATATTGGGTCCTAATAAGCAAGTAAGGTCTGTCTCCTACTAGAAAGAATGTTTCTTTCAATTCAAACTAAAAATTCATCCACGTTGATTACTACCGTCGTGTACTGCATTATCTCAGACGGCGCATGCCAAAAGAATGAATCTTTTGGTAAGGGCGATCACGTTGACCCAACACTGATAATGAGGGATAGAATCGTGAAAGTAAAACTCTTCATCTTCGATAATACACTAATAGTGAACGATCTTAGACTTGTCCTGCGACCACATTATCTTCGATTTCGCACTCATCCGTTCCACGAAGTATACGGAAGTAACCTGAAAAACGTCATTGTTTTATTAAAAACAGCTATGAATAGATTTGCTTAGTTGAATAAGAATTGCTTTAACGTAAGGGTCAACGGAAATGTGTTCATTTCTTCGCTTCTGGAAGCATTTTGTCTATCGCCTGAAAACAAGGATCAAAATCGACTCTTTCTTCAGTGAGAACATCAGAATTTTTCAGCAGTCTTAGTTCTTATCGTACTAACTAGCATAAACTATTCCTTCTAGCTAGGTTACAAAATCTATAGCACTAATAAAACTGGGAAACATTTTGCTTACCGTTCTCTCCCCAGTCAGCGTTCCACGAATTAGCAACCAACCAGTAGGGCACGCCACCTTCCTCTCCCCATCCAAGAATCCTCACGGCGTGACCTCCAACGTCATCACCAAAGGTATGCTAAATGCTTTTCTTCTACAATTTTCACACTCTTTTGCAAGAAACAAAGTATTCTTTGTTTCGCTCTATATCGGGAAAAATTTCTCGCGTTTTCATGACGACACACCGATATAGCTCCACTACGTCTTCAAAGAAGGGTGTCGACCTCTGCTGTAGGTGTAGGTTAAAATTTTAACAATCTGAAGAACAATTCACGAAAAAGGATTTTAGCTAAACAACAGCTGTTGACTGCAAGATTTAGTGAAGGCTTTGAGAAAATTAGGCTGCCTTAAAATGAAATGCTCATTAAGCACAATATTTAGATAGTCAACAATCACGGCAATAACACCACCTGGTTGCGCTGTTTAACCCGTGATATCTTAAAGAGCATGGGCTATTGAGACCAAAAGCAACTTCTAAACCTATAGAGATTTTGATAAAATCGGTTTACTTTTTGTACTCTTTTTCAACCCTTTAACGATAAAAAGGCTTCAAATTTTCCTGTGAGTATGCGTAACTGTCAAGTGTATGGTCCTAATTATGTTAAAAAGATGTTCATCGTTCAGACAATAAGGAGGGACGAACTTTCATATGGTACAGTACCTTATAAATTCCGCTTACGTAGAGAAAGAAGTCTTCATAGATAATGAAACCTGTAACGACTGGCCCATTGGTCATAATTTCCCTCTGAATGGCAGACACAGAGTTCGAAACGTTGTATGCAGTCCTTCCTGAATAGGATGGCACGAATTATCACTAGTTTCTACACCGGATTTTCATTTGATGGTTATTCACCTTATTTTGAAAGATGTTAACTTACCGTAGGTTTTGTCGCCTTGGTAAGAAATCGGATAGCCGGCTTGGCAAGTGGTTTTGCATACAGGTGTGTCGTATTGTTGAGTACAGTTACTGTAGTAGGTCCCATTTTCTTGGAAAACACACGATGGGATTTCATATGGTCTGCATGCGTCCCAAAAAAAAAAAGAGACCAGTGTATTGTTGTTTTAGAAAAACAGCAATGGCAGAAGAACCTTTGTGCCGTAGAGCCCACCGGTGACAACACCGGTTTCAATAAAGTACTTCCAAGGTGCGTAAAGATATCCGCCACTGCATCTAAATTCCTTTATCTTTCAAGCAAGCACAAATGGAGAATTAAACAAATGAAATAATTCGATAGATCTTTTAGCATTTCAGATCCCACTTGTATCTTCCTAGTATGACCACTTCCAGAGTTGATGTTGGTTTTACTAGGTACTTTTAGTGTAATCTTTGACCGACGATTTTTCATGGAACGAGATTTCAAAGGTAAACTGGAATCAGGAAAACAGAAGCGAAACGTGCAAGATGACTGCTCAACAATGAATGGCTATTTGAGAGTAAGTCGTAAGAAGGAGGTAAGAGTCTATGTGAAAGGAAATTGCATTGTAATGTGTTACCACTAGAGCAGAAACCTGTCTTCTGTAAACAATCCTAAATTTTAGGTTAATCCAGACCGTGATTTATAGGGTGACTAAAAATTAACTCCATACAACCACAAAGTTGCTGAGATATTTGCAAAACTCCGGACCGCCGGTTTTTCCTGTGGGAACGAACATCATATTACCTTTCCCGGGGTCAACGCGTTCACCACCACACCATGGGAATCCTTCGTTGCGCCTGTCCCTCACTAGTTCTATCGATCTCTGCCATCAGCAATCACCCGTCAACGGGAGCTAACTGAGAGACAGGCAAAACGGAGGACTCCCATGCTGTGGTGGCGAACGCGTTGACCCTCGGAAAGGGTAATATGATGTTCGTTCCTATGCGGTCCGGAGTTTTGAAAAAATATCTCAGCAACGTTGTGGTTGTATTTCGCTGAATACTTTGTCGTGAAAATTGTAGCAGGCAGAAAAAGAAGAAGTAAAACATTAACTCCATATTTAGAAATACTTGTAATTTATTGCAAATATACTTTAATCTGTTCACGCTGTGATTGATCAATGTCTAGGCCATCCATTCACGACCTAACAAAGAACAGCTCATTAATGAAAAAATAGACATCGCTTTCAATTTACTTATTTACTGTAATAGTCTCTAAATTTTGTGCTCATGTTCCTTAATACCAGAAGATTAAATCTATGCTGTTCACAGTATTGCCGTGTAGGACGTCCAGCCATCATGGAACACTAGTTTAAGATCCTGTGCAGTCTGCATTACATATATATATATATATATATATATATAAACATATATATATATATTTATATATATATATATATATATATAAACGCAGAACGAATCGGTCACCACACGGAATATGGGGCTTGAAATTTTGACAGTATTAGCCAGACTCTGCTTTTATATCAAAGTGTTAATGCCGTCGTACCCGTCACAACCATCAGTGCAGCAGCTCATGATGTCGTCCGCTGACAGTTCAACCTGAGATCTATTGCTAATCTTTGAGACATGCCTCAATTTAGAATCCATGAAAGCATCATACCGTCTTATTGCCATGCGAAGCGATGCAAACTCGATCTGACATAACCTCTGCAGCTGAGACAGCCCAACAGGAACCTGCAACTTTCAAATCGTACCAGTGCATTCAATTTCAACCAAAAATAAAAAACTAATTGAAGTATTCTCACCGCACTGTGATTGGTCTCGAATGTAGGAAATGGAGGGGCAATGAGGCCATGTGACACGGGCATCGAAGCTATAACCACTTTCATTTAGTATAGCATCGTCAATTTTGGGCCAAAATTTTGGGTTTGTGGTGATTCTGTTTCCTCCACCTCTTTTCGGCTTTTGGAGTACACACAGGGAATGAATATCTTTTCCCTAGCTTTATTCACTAAACCGAGCTAGTTCAGAACTAGCCTGATTATGGTGAAATTACATGAATGACCGCACTCGAGAAGTTATCTCTCCGCTTTTTTTGCACTCCTTCCACCCCAGTGAGCAAACCTTTTGTTTCACTTACCTATCTGGAATTTTGGAGCCATCAATTTCAGTGTCATCCTCTCGAGGTTTGTTGTTTCGATTTATGAACTTCGATTTCATAACCTTCTTTCTTAGCTGTTCAATATCGGCTCTAGGTTCGGCCTAAATTTGTCTATTTCTCTATTCTGTGTTAATGTCAAAGCGAAAGCAAAAACAGCATTTTCTTTATGTTGCGTTATTTGCTCAGAAATATTTGGAAGCCTAGAAAAACAATTTGGGCGACAAAAACAGGCTACTAGGGTTATTGTAATTTTTTTGCTCCAATTAAGTTAACAGTGCGCCGCACGCGCAAGCGCAGTATCATCCCGGTCTTTAAGAAGCGTGAACTATTGCAAAAGATCCATTCGTAACTGCACGGTTCTGACGAAGACGAAATCGCCGAAACGTTGGCCCTCGACTAACGACAGCAACAAAAACGTAGACGGCAACAGCAACAACGACAACAACAACTTCTCCAACCCTGCATCAGAGCACTACATCAATTTCCCCAAGAGAAAGTAAAAAAAAATTGGCTTCAATTTCGTAACGTTCAGGTTTACTTATCAGATAGCGGTTACATGATAAGGTGGTACCGAAAACCAAGTAACAAAAACATTCTAGTTCATTTCCTCTTTCCCCACCCTTCATAAACAAAGAGGGTGCCTGTGAGAAACATGTTTAGAACAGCCACCTCTGTGTGCACGAAGAGGTAACAAAAAGAAGAATCACACAACTCGGCTCGGCAAATAGCTATCTCCAATGGTTATGAAATAGTAACCCCACGAGATAAGTTTAGAACGAGAGCCCCCCTAGCGAAAAACGTGGCCGAGACAAAACTGCGTTTATGTTGTCCTTCATTATCGATGAAGTAGGTGTAGCAATACAATGGTGCCACAGAAGGGCAGGTCTGGAGGAATCGATAGTAATAGGAAATGCCACCCGATACTCTTTGCCGTTAGTTAGTTGGTAACAGCCTATATGACAGTCTATACGAAAAACAAATTCGCTTAATTTGCCTAATGGCAGGAACGGGAATTGCATGAGTTTAGGTGCTATATACCTGATCTCTTGTAATACTTGCGGAGACGAATCTATTGGCGAAATGGACAGACTTTTATGTATCCGTATAGAAGAACACCTAGAAAGGAAATGAAAAACAAGACAAACTACCCCACTGGGCACGCACAGGATACAACGGCATAGTGGATACGATTTTGATGTAGAAGTCACTATCCACGCACAGGATGCCAAAACACTGGCGCGCGAGCCTCTAGAGACTTTTCGGATAAGTGCCAAGAACCCTAGAATGAATAGCAAGGAGTGATTCCCAGAGATCACACCTGATCTAGTCCCGTACCTTCGCATCGACTGTGGTGGTGCAGTCATCGACCATATTTGACTCTAATCAATTGTTTTTTCCCGCTGGAAAGCACTTAAATTCGGCAGGTCTTTCTAGAAGCTCATAGTCTATGTTTGCTATTTAGATTTTTATCTTTCTGCTTGTGTTATTGAAGCGTTTGGCACAGTAAATCGCGTGTCAGTATACCTTTCCAAGCTCTGAGAGAGGCGATACTGCCGAAAGACCTGCTTTAACGGATTAAAGAATAAAGTACCACCTTGTGTTTGCTCAGCAAGAATAATAAGAACGATCAAGCATCACCTTGAAAAGCTGCTGATGATTGTTGACGTAATGGGCAAGTGCTTCGCCAGTGAGAAACCCTCTCTCAAGAGTTATAACATCGGTTTCCTGTTTAGCTGTAATTTAATATAAACTTAGCATACAAAATTGCACTGTTCACTTGTTTTAGGAGAAATCGACAACCGATTGTCGAGTGAACGGGTATGTCTTTATAAAACTCACTGAGAACACTCCTACCTGGTAGTGCGGATGCCCACGACAGGGAGACGATTAAAATGACGACAATGAACCTCTAAAGATTATACCTTCCAAATAAACCATTCGGTAGGTTGCTTCATGTTAATATAAGAAAACATAGAAGTGGGAAAAAATTGACTTTTTCCTAGTTCTCATTATGAGCACTCTTTCAGGATAACAGCAACTACTACTACTGATGGTGAACGCGTAATCTCTCGGAAAGGGTAGTGGCGCGTTTGTTCCCACCGCGGACACCTGCGGCCCGGAGTTTTGCAAATATCTCAGCGCCATTTTGGTTATATAACAACTGCTGCCGGAGCAGTTTTCCTAACGTTCTATAAAGCTTGGCGTTTACTGCTGTGTTGCCTAGGTGAGATGATTGGCTATCTGACTAATTCGGTTTTGAGTAAGTTGTACACTGAGAACAAAACCTAGCCTTGATTGGAACCGGCTCTCTCTTAATCTGTAACCCAGTTATAGTTGAAAATTTACCCATCGGATGCTGAAATTACGAAAATGGCAAATGTACTGCGAGGCTTAATTGTGAGCACATGCTACACCTCGTTAAGTCTTCGTTGTTAGAAGCATCACTCCATCGTACGTATGCAATCAGGATAACGCTTCTTGAAATAAAAAGGTTATTACTTACTTACTTGATACTTGAACCGCCCGTCCTCACTAGTTGTTCGGGCCCCAGCACAATCAACATTTTTCGGATTTTTCGGAGATTTGCTGGTTTGGCGATGGAGGGTTCCCTGGTGTCCCGAGGTCAGGCTGGCCAAAGTCTGCCCCAAGTCTTCACCACCACAGGCAGTTGCAGCCCTTGTGGATCAGAGGATTGTTGAAAGGGGAATTATTGGAATAAAAAACGTGATTATATCGTTAAAATTGAAACTAAGATCTATGTTGTTTCGATCAAAACTGTTTCATGTTAGCTATCAAACCAACCATAGTAAACTAGGGATCAACTCACCATCTCAGGAAGAAGGGATACACTTATCACGGCGATGCGAACTTTTATGCGCAATTCAGAAATTTCGGCAAAATTATTCTGTTGTGCTGATAAGAGAAAGGAACAAAGAAATTTCAGTATAGTCGTTATCTTTCGTAGGCTCTTAATACAGAGGCCTACAATACGGCACCGTCTTCTACACCATCAGTTCACTCACAGCTTCGTTCTGAATGTGAAGATTAAAATTGTAGCGTTCCGCTAAATTTCACAAACCTATCGGAGTTTGGCAGAGTAGGGATATGTTGAAGTAAAGGGTAGTGAAAAGGTGATAAATTTGTGATTACAAGATGTACAGTTTTAATTCAACTGTTCTATAACAACCAGAATGAGGGAAATCAATCAGATTAAGCAGGAGTATGGAAACAGAGAAGAATGTTTAGTCGTCTGTCTCAATCAACTAAATAGCACTTCACATTTCTCTTTTACATGAAACTCCAAGATTTCTAGCTACTTTTAGGATCTCCTTCGGAAGAAACGGAAACACCTTCTATGATTAGGCGTTGGATGCTCCAGTTAACCAGCTTTCACATACAATCAGCATCGGTTTTCCGCAACTTTACCATCTTTGACAAACAAATGAAAGGCGTACTTTAAAGCAAATAATGAATCGGTATTCTTTACTGGCTTGCTACCGCTCTAGTTTCCATAAACAAATCGTCTCTAAAAACCTTCGTCAAAGAGAAGATTGAGCGTCAAGAAATCACATGAATTCTCGCTTGTATTTGCAATACATTCGATAGGTTTGAAGTTCTACGTAGTTGCACGCAGCAATTTTTCACTTTACAACTCCATCCCACGGCGCGTGTGGCGTAGTAGTTGGAGACGAACTGCAACACACGTGGAATCGATCCCAACGCCTATGGCCCAGCAAGCATTCCATCTCTTCGGGGTTGAAAAATTGATACCAAGCTTTTCTAGGAGGATAGCTGTACTGGCCCGATACATCGGTAGGCCACTGCAAGTCATTGTAAAGACCAGATGTGCATTCAATCACCTGCAAACGATTTTTAATGAAATCGAATGCATAGCGCCTTCCTCAGGGATTGATCATCACCTAGAGCTTTATCCTTTATCCTTTTAGCTCTATCCTGCTTGTTTAGCTTAGCTTTACTAATACTTTGTCTTTGGTGACACATAAGTTTATTGTCTAGGATTACACGAGTCCTTTGATGACGCTTAACAAAAATATCAAGAACTATTTGATCAATACCGTGGTTAGTAGAAAGTCGGTCATGGGGATTATCCATAAATTAGCGCGGTAACGACCATGTAGTATGGGATAACTTTTGCTGGGTGTCGACTAATTTTTAACATTCCAAAAAAAATTCTTCCCAACTAGGCGTCTCTTCTAATCAGTCACTGATTTATCAGAACCTGTTATTTAAAAAATGTTCGGTATGCCAGCTTTTGTTCTTATCAGGCAGTCTGTTGAGATTTACTGTCGTCTCGTGATTTGCACGAGTGGTGATGCGAAATTTTACAGCCGTCTTATAGAGATGCTTGCAGACCATTTCCGTTCACCGTAATGGCTCTTTCCATACTGGTAATTTACAATCGACTGCAAGAGTCGTTTCCGTACAGCTCTATTGAAGCACCAGCAGAGCTCCTTGCAACTAGAGGACTTGATGATCGAGTTAATGGCATTACTAATCGCTTGAATTATGCATGAGAAGACGAAGACAAATGGGAACCATAGAGAATGCCTAATGCAATCGATGCTATTGTGGGGAAATAG